ACATCGCACGCGTAACACTACAAGTCTTAAACCCAACTTCAAACCACTATGTCATATCTTGCATTGCAATATTTAACGAAATAACATATTTTTTCTTAACGTCTATCCAAACAAATAATCAATATTTATGTTTATCAACTCCAACTAAAAACTAAAATAAATAATATTTAAAATTAGCGTTTTATAAACAAATAGAATAAATATTCTATCAATTCTATATTTACATCAAAAGATGAAATAATATTTAAAAACTAAAATAATTAATATTTTAATCTTAAGAATTTTATACAAATAAAATATTAATAGTAGAATAATTACCTTACTACTTAAAATTTATAAATTTTTACATGATATATATCATACAAATTTTTTATATTTTTGTAATTATTATTTAATATTTTAATTTACATGAAATGATAATATATTTATTATTTACAAAAAAAATTGTTTACATGATACTCAAGAATATAATATTAAATTGAATATATCAAATCCACTAATTTACATTTGTATAAAAATGACTTTAATTTAAAAAAAAATATAAAAATAAAAATTTAATAATGAAATAATTATTTTAATAATTAAAAATTATGAGTTTGATATGATATATATCTTAGAAATTTTAACTAATTTTATATATTTTAAGTTAAAATTATATATATATTTTATTAATTATTAAATGATAATTTAATTTATATTTGAGAATTTAATATTTAGTTATCTTTTTTTTGTTAATGTTGAAAAGTAAAAAATAGAAAATAATTGATAATAATAATTGGGATAAATATAATAGATCCATCTTGAACTCTTAATAATGCATTGTATGATATCTGTGCATTCAGTTATATTAATTATAATATATTTTTATGTACAACATTAAATATATATTTCTTATATATTTATACATTATTTATGGCTATTTGGCCATAAATTTAATGTTATTGATGTATTTGTGAAATTTGTGTGTAATTCTCTAGTGTATCTAAGTGTTTCCAAAGCGTATTCATATCTAAGTTGTCTGATACGATACCCGATACTGATACTTTAATCCTTGTATAAAACATTGGATGAAGGAAGATCGATTGCCGAATATGGTGGTCATCAACAACCAACATTGGATACTTGGGTGAAGGCCTGTGAAAATTCAGGACTTTGGTTGAATAGGAAAATGGGGGCTTTTTTGCCAAAAGAAATAAAAATGCTAAAATATTAAAACCTCCCTTGAGGTGCCATTTTAACAAAAACTCCCCTATAGTTTTGAAAAAAACTTGAACTTACCTCCCTTTCATTAATGTCCCAATTAATTATGAAAAAGAAAAAAAATAATTATTGTCTCCATAATAGAGACTTTGAAGTTATAAAATTACCCTTACTACTTGTTAGGGAATCTTTCAATATATAATCAAAATTCCAGATTTACCCTTTTAGACTTCATTCAATCATGACTTTATAAAATGAAATTACTTTACTTTTTTTTTAATCTACCCTAGGGAATTTTTTTTTAGTTAAAAATTAAAAACTTCTTCGGGGAGTATTTTAGTAAATCTTCACTTTAATGGATAGACATAAGGATAAAATGGATTTTTTTAAAAAATTAATGCATTAGACCAACATTTTCTGACTCAGACAATGATGAAAGAGAGGTAACTGCAAGATTTTTCAAAACTACGAAGGAAATTTTTGTTGTGGAAGATTTTTATGATTGTCAAAAACCTCAGGGGAGGTTTTTTATATTTTACCTAAAAAAAATAGAGGGGGCCATTCCCCCATAGGGGGCAATCACATTCCCATTCTGATCAACCAAACGATTGATTGGAATTGGAATTGTCCAATTCTGATTTCGATATCTATTCCCATGAAACAAAAACACCCTTAAAATGGAAGCAGGAAGTCCAAGGCCTCCCCCTACAAAAGCGGAAAGTGAAGATCTTAAAACCAGAATCTGTTATTCACAAATTGTTCTCACATCCATACACATAAAGCACCACACTTCAGGAACATCTCCCATGAATGACAAAAGAGAGATTTCTAACGCTCAGCTGTAATGCCTCATGGGTAAAGAGGTAGGAACAGCTTGTGGTTGTGGGTAGTAGATCCAAGCAGTGCCAATCCACCATCTGCATGTTGGGTTAAGCACATGGTTTTCAAATCAGGACTGGAAAAAACAGGAACCGGTCACCCCTGATGGGTTCCGTTTTCCCCTCAAAACCATTGATTTTGGTCAATAAACCGCTGAACCGGTTGATTAACCATTCAAACTGTTTTAATCGTTTTTTTCAATTTTTTTAATTTTTTTATTAGAACGGGTCGACCGTTCAAGTTGAACGGTTGAATTGTTCGAACCAATAACCAAACCTCTGACCGATTGAATTTTAAAAACCATGGTTAAGCACCACTGTTGTGCCAATCAGCCCAACTGGTCCCAATTTGAACTCAATTCGAGGAATAGGGATCTATCTCCTCACATGCACCTCACAGCCACATCCTATGGATCTGTTCCCATGATCCAAATGCAACTTTTTTTGGTGGCGTAGAATGGGAGTTAAATTAAGATAAAAAATAAAAAATAAAGAAGATGCAAAGTCGATGTTTATATTGAACGAGATTGAAATTTGTTTATTCAGAAAATAATGAAATAAGTAAGCCCTGATTTGCTTTAATTCGGCTAATAAAACACGGATGCATCACACACAGACTTTATTCTCTCTCGTTTTGCCATATCTAATGTTTTTTTCATGATATGTATTGTTTCAAGACCTCTCCGATATGCCTTTACATAGGGGCAGAACCAGGGGTGGCGGAGGGGAGACATGGCCCCCTTTATGTCTTCAAATTTTTCTTTAAATCTATTTAAGTTCCATTTGTATTTTAGTCTCTTTACTCATATTTCCTAGCTTTTGGCCTCCTTTATTCATGTTTTTTAGGTTTTGGCTCTCCTCAATAAAAAATCTCAGCTCTGCCCTTACCTTTACAGTAGGCATATCGAAGGTTTGACTGATTCAGAGGGTAGAGGAGCCCTAAACCGACCCTCCTAAACCGATTTAAAAAAATAAAAAAAAATGTATCATTTCACCCGATATGCCCCTATTAATATATAAGACGTATCGATATTTTGAACTTTGATACAAATACAACAAATTCAGTCATCTATGACTGACTATCTCTCTTTTATTGTACAAAGAAAAGGAATCAGGCACAGAGGAGTGGACCATGGATGTAATTATATTGCAATTTATGTATATTTATAAGGCACAGCAAATTCTGTACCTTATGGGTTATGGGCAGCCACGTTTAGGGTTTGCAAACTCAATTCCGGTTGTATTATTTGAGGCAAAGTTGGCAACATATCATATTACTTTCTCTCCCTTAATTGGCTTTTCCAAATGCCGTCACTGTAGCCTGTAGGGCCAGGGGAGGCAATGAGTTACGAGTTATGAGAGAGGAGAGATCCTCCTCCTCCACCTTTTTCTTTTCTTTTTAATTATTTTAATAATAAATGAGATGAGGTCGTGTCTCTCTGTATAAGCGCGCTTAAGCCACATGTAAAGGTAAGGACGTTATCAATCTCCATCCTCCTTGTTCCTTGTTTTCAAATATTTTGATAAGTCTTTCTTTAATCCTATTTTTGATAAGTGAAGAGGACCGATTCCAGACTCCAGACCCCAAAGTGGTCCAAATCCATTCGGGGAGTGGGAATTGCTTGCGATACAAGCAATTATCACCGACGCCATACTTGACCTTACCCTCATTGCTTGATTGGTTTTGGCCATTAAAAAAGTCTTGTGATTCCCTTGATGCATTATTATTGCCCCCCTCCTCCTCTCTCAAATCACAATTATTTACTCCCATGGGTGATGGGTGATGATAATGGGTCACACCACACCTCATAAAAATAACAATTGTGTATTGTTTGGGAATACACAACTACTACCCAAAAAATAACGAGAGAGCAATTAATTCGAAAGCACCGGAGTTCAAAAATACACAACATGATATTCCGGTTCCCATTTCTTTTTCTTGGTGATGAACCTAAACTATTGTAATAATATTCTCTAGGTCTACTGTATTGACAAAATAACGAGATGATACTACATTCATTTTTATCTTCTCTCTCTCTCTAATAATATATCGAGTTATTTATATGGTATCGTTATATATATATATATATATATATATATATATATACTCTTCCCCTTTCCTCGATCATTCCCTATTAAATATTAGCAAGTTGATTTTCTCCATTACACTTGTTTAAAACTTAATTTGAAAATAAATGAATAAAGGTGGGACCTTGATTAATTGCACTTCCATTGTTTGCTGTAAATGTAAACTCTCGGATTCGGATTGGATTTAACAAAGAATGCTAAAAAGTAGGAGGACCAAACATCAGATCCATGACGACGAGCCTAAATTGGAGTTGGAATTTTTGTCAGATCCATTTGTAAAGAGACTTTAAAAAGAAAACCCGGTGTGGCTGTGGCCCCATAATTCTCACCTTTTGTGGCGAATCAAAATTTCCATAAACAAAATCAACACGCGTTACCTTTCTAGTCACATCCCACTCCCTTAAACTGAGAAAGCTGTTTCCCAGAAAAGCATGACTTAATTCTGAGACTCAGAATTCTCATAGTTCAGGACAGGGGATTTATGTACATTCCCGTTTATGATTTGCTGTCAACATTTCATTCACGAGCACATCCATCATCAATTGAGAGAGTGATTTGCTGTTATCATACCAGCTTAATTTCGACCAAACAATTAACCTCTTTTTTAAATTCCCTCCACTGCCAGCCAAACCTTGCTCCCAATAAAACTACCTTCACTGGAAATTCTTCACTAAAATGTCAACCTGAGCTACAGGAATCCAACCATCAAATAGGATGCGCCACACCCACAACTACAACCCATCTAGATGCATCAAAAATGGCATAACAAATAAAAATGAATTAGATACTCTGATATTAATACCAAGACATAGAAGATTACTAAAATCCCAATGCTGAACAAATTAGATAAATACCAATTCCAATAGCAAATTAGCAACCACAAGCTTCACCTTACACATCCAGAGATCAAATAGGTACTTGAAAAATGGATATAGCACCGGTGCATACCCTTGAGGAATCAAATATACAAGAAGAAACCAACTCCAAACTAGTGCTTATAGTCATATTCAGTGTTTGTTTATTCCAAGCAAGGAGAACGGTTTAATTGAATCTCAGCACTACAACAAGGCACTTCTACATGGCACAACCATTATGAATGCCTATACAATATTTCTCCATCAAGCTTAGGAAGGAGAGAGAATTTAGTCTGACAGAACTTCTTTCAGACACCAGTACACCTAGGGTCTGCAAAAACCTAGTTAACAGAAGCAAATATGCTATTAACTTGATTCCAAATTAAAAGACAAAGGGGTTAGGTTTCACAATTCTTACCACAAAACTGAGAACTTCAAGTTCGAAGCTCAAGAGCAATCCCAGTCAAAAGCTAACCAGACGCATAAAAAACATTCATCAAAGCAGTCAGCATGAGCTAGAGTTGCAGGGAAGAGTGCACTATAAGGATGCACTTTTTTTTTTCGATTCTTAGATTTCATTTATGGTACAAAGTTAGCAAATAATGAAAACTGAGCATGGTATCCACCCTTACATTTCTCAAATAAATTCTTCTTTCAAGTCAATAGTAGGTCGTTGGTTCCAAGGTGAGGGCGAAGGCATACACGAACCTCATGTTCTTCTGGTCCCACGCGGTGCTTTGGCACTAAAATCTCTAGCACTGTTCCAGTCTCGTCATAGTATGCTTCCAGTGTTGCATCTTCTGGAATGCGGGTTGCAAGGGGGATTTCCCTTATGAACTCCCCAGGAGGGCAGTGCTCGGGAGATGGATCTGTAAGCTTGAATGTCCTATCGTGTCTCTTGATGAACGGCATGCGGGCTGTGCTCACACAAGATATCTTTACAATCCCATGAGTGAGCGTGTTTCTCCAAGAAACCTTAACCCTCTGAAGATCAGCAAAAGGCACGCTAACGATGATCAAATACCCTTCTTCATCCTCATAAATGGTTTTTGCAGCTGTAACAGGGCCATGTATGTTCCTCATTACACCACTGAAATCATTCAACCAGGGTGGCTCATATGGGTGCATCTCCATGTCCGAAACTCGCTCAGAATGTGAATTAATAGTAGGCATACAACAATCATCATCAATCCCATGTGGGAAAAAGTCCTTCCTCTTCTTGTTGCTAACGGGGGAAAGGTCCATACCATCGCCATTGACATGGTTAGATGGCTGAGTTGACAAATTCAAGCCAGATCCATTGAGCAATCTCCTTGGGTTGGAGTGTGGGTTACTCTTTATTGGAGGAGGGGGCCTCTCAAGCTCGAAATCTGTGTTTGGGAGGTTCCTCCAAGCACCAAAATCACTTGCTTCAGGTGGGATGGAGAAATTCAAATCCCGTCCTGTTAGCTCAATCCATCTTTTCCGCTCTTCCTCATCAAGAGCCATGAGATTTGGGGACCTGACAACCTCAATACCATGCACACATTGGGGATTTGAGAGACCCCTGTAATGCTTTCTCTGCATCCTGTGGGATCGGACGAAACCCTTGTCCACGCTGAATGGAAAGGGGCGCTCCCCTTGGCGGGAGTGCCCATTCATGTAACTCCGCAGCTGCATCTTACCGAGTGCATTCTCCGGCCTTTCTTTGAAAACCCACATGTACATGTTCTCCATGTCGTGCTGAACCAGGAAAACATCGAGCTGGAGGTCCGACTTATCAAACCCGGCAACCCCGTTGCTGTCACGGGTAATCTTCCCCTTGGATTTCTCATTCAAAACAGGCTTGAAGTAGAAACTGAAGAAAAACCAGGCGCCCCAGATGCTATCCACTCGCTTGGCACATTTCCGCCCAGCCTTGGGGAGATGGAGGAGGGCTTCTGTCTCATAGATCTGAGGCCCAAGACCGACATCTAAGATGTCACACCCTTCCCCGTTCCACGGTTGGGGAGGTGGGCTCCTTTCGGCCGACAGTGGGAGATTGATATCGGGCGGGCGAGAGAGGATGATCTGCCGATTCATCTCGCGTTCCAATTCATCGTGCGAGTTGGAACTTGAATCCATGGACAGGAGAGTCGACGGATGATGATTCTCCATGGATAGAGTTGTGAGGAGAGCTTCCCCCATTTCCCCCTTTTATCTCTTCTAGGGTTTCTTTCTTGTTTTTTCAAGCTGGTTGGGTGGAATTTCTCAGTCCACCCGAGTCAACTATGGCATCTCATACGAACATTACTAGATCAATTACAGAAAGAACCCACAACACAAACCCCAGATTCATCAATCAATTTCACCAGGAACCCAAAAGAACGACATGAACATAAAGAGGGAACACTAGATTCAAAATCCCAAACCAAGAAAACCCTAGATGCATCAAATGGATTGAACAGGGGATTCTAAAACAAAATTAAACAAAATCCCAACCCGAGAATCTCCTGGAATTCCCCAGAAATAGGAGGCAAATATGGTATCAAGGGGATTAAATCCATCAAGATAAGATTTTCAGGACACAACCCTAAAAATCTACAAACCCTAACCCTAGAAAAGGGAAAAAGAAAACCCAGACACCCAAATAGAACTAAAGGGATCTTCAAAGATTACCTTTTCATATAGGATTTGAATCCCTTGCAACAGAGACCTTCACAAGCGATACTCATCTTCCTCACCCAGTCGTTCCGTCAAAACAAGCAGAGAGAAGGAGCGATTGAGAGAGAGACAGAGAGAGAGGAACGATAACGGATTCGGTTTAAGAAAACCGTGTCACGGAGACGGATTTCTTGGGAGTACCAACCTACACCAGGTAACACTGAAACCCTCCACGGCCGTTTGTAAAAGGGAGAATGACTGTTCAAATCGCCGTGACCGTTAGTTAATGGTGACGCTAAATAAGGATGTGAGAGGTCAAACAACGCGTCAAACCAATAAGGAGACTTCGGTATATGTGTAATGTGTTGCCCTTGCCCTTCTTGAATTGCTGAGATATCCATTCCTCAATTCTCATGGTGGTGGACCTTCCCACAGCCTATATCAACAACAACAAAACCCTAACTCTCTCTCTCTCTCTCAAAGAGTTTGCTTTTACATGTGATGTGGGGTGTATGTCTAAGCTTATGTTCGGAAATCGGTTCCCATCTTCTCAACCCTTTTCAGCATTTTGCTTATCAAAATGCATTAAAAACTAAGAGGAGATCCAAAATTAACAAGTTAGGGGTGGGGGGATAGATTTCTATTTTATAAATAAGAAGATTAGAGCACAAATGCTTTGTTTAATCCATGGTTTTTTCAACCATCGTTGATTCAGACAGTCAAACCATTCGGCCCGAAAACTGTTCAGGTAATCGATTCCATTTTATTCCAAATCTGGTTTCTGGACAAAAACTGTTAAAGAAGTCTACGACTCATTGAACTGGGTAGTTAAATCGTCGACCCGTTCAACGGTATTTTGCTATTTTTAATTTTTAATTAATTTTTGTATTTTATTTTTTATTTTTTATTAGAACAACTTATCAAATCATCAACACAAAAACTGATGACCAAAACGATTCCATTTTCAGGTCATTTTTTAAAACCATAATTTAATCCTCCATGGTCTCTTTAACCTTTAAAAGTTCACACAACACAACATATGGTAAATTGGTCATAACAAATCATAGCTTAACCTATCGTAGCTAAAAGTAGATTAGACACAAGGATTAGGGATTCCTTTGCTTTCTGTCTCAATTGATGATTATTCGTGGGAATTATCAAGTTGATGGTGCAAGCTTATTAGGAGATACACCCAACATCTAATTTTTGGGCATCTATTGTACAAAGTACAAACATGTGCAGCTTAATAGTTTACGGAATTATTTTATCGGGGATTAAAGAATGGAAGCGGATTTCTGGGCCTTCTCATTGGCTCGCTTGTACAAATTTGGCTTGCACCTTTGATGTAAGATTAGGATTATTTGTTTATTTATTTATTATGCCATGTTCCAGATACCACCTCTTTGTTCGGGTTCAACGACCTTTGTGTTCTATTTGTGTAGGTTGTAGAGTCAAAGGCTTCTGTTAGAGATGCACAACGGTGAAAGTTTTCTAATTTATTCATTTATTAATTATTGAATTAATGGGATGTTTATGTTCACTTAGTATTAATTGTTATTATTAACCTTTCACTTTGAACCCTAACATATGTAACATGATAAATTGGTGAATACATATTGATCAACACTCCACCCTATTGTAGGGACTAATTCACACCACACCATTGTTTCGATTTATTTTGAATAGTGGATGAAAATGTATCAACTAAAACTATCTATGTTCATAAGGACATTTTGTAGGTCCACACCACACTTATTGATTTTATACATAACTTTTAAGACGTCAAGTGAGACTAGGCACCTAGCCGCCTAGGCGAGGGATTTTTCCAACTAAAAAACATATATCTTAGGATAATTCCCTAGTTTTTATAACTACATTTCTTTAATAATTATCCATAATTTTCATACGAAAAGTATAAGCTTCATGTTAAAGTATAGAAAATCAACATACTCATGAGTGTAAAAAAAGAAATAAATGAAAATTTAAAAAATATACAGGCTGAACCCTTATTTTTCTTATAGGAAAAGAAGAAAAGAAAAGGTGGAGAAGAAAATGTGTTAATTAGAAAAAAAAATATATATGTTCTTACCTATTGGTTCAAGTTTTAAAGTCTCAATACAACATTTAGCAATGCTTGTGTTAATTAAACCCTAACAAATAAGAAAATAATAAAAGGAAGTAGTATATAAATATACAAAATGAATGTTTTAATTTTTTAATTCAATAATGTCTATTTTATAATTATAATCTCCAAAAGTTAAGAATATAAAAGTACTTCATAATATAATATACAAAACTACTTGGCGATTAGACGAGGCATTACTCCAAAGGCATCTTATTGCCTAGGCAAGGCATCACCTAGGTGGGCTCCTAAGTGTTGCCTTGACAACTATGATTTCATACATATCACATATAGCTTATGAGATAATCTATACAATCAATCAATCATGAAAATTTATTATATTTTAAGACAAATAATTTAGAATAATAATTATGAATAAAAATAAAAAAACTAATACACAATTACCAATAGATATAAAAAATATATTTGTCATATATGTCAAACAGATATGTGTAGCGACACATATAAATATAAAATATAAAATGTATTTATATATTACAAATAAATAAAAAATATATTTGTTACATATGCACAAACAGATTTGTGCATCAGCAAGAAGTTGTAACTAAGGAGTTTTGGAAGGCAATTACAGTTCTTTAGCGTTCGAGATGACAGTTATAGTTCTCCGGCATTTCGGATGGCAGTTATAGTTTTCCAGCATTGTAGATTGACGTTTTAGTTCTCCGATGTTTTTTTTTTGGATGGCAGGTCACAATGGACAGTTATCCGGTGTGCTGGAAGGCAATTACAGTTTTTCGGTGTCCAGGATGATAGTTACAATTCTTCGACATTTCGGATGGCAATTACATTTTTCTAGTGTTGTAATGGATGTTTCAATTCTTTGACATTTTTTTGGATGGTAGGTCACAGTGGACAGTTATCTGGTGTGTTGGATGGCAGTTACAGTTATCTGGTGTGTTGGTTGGAAGTTACAGATCATGGCTTTTGGCTTTGTAAACTCCTATGGCAGTTTTCGTTTTTTGTTGGAAACCTCTCTTGTTAGTTATGCTCGCCAGTTATGGTGGATTGGAGATGTACTTATCCACTTTTGTTGGTGGTTTTAAGTCACCTTGCTTTGGTTGTAGAAGTTTACATCTATCTTTTTATTTTGTTCTTTCTGAGAATTGTATCTGAACTTTAATTAGCCTTGTTGGCATTTCTTTATATCAATCTCTCAAATGAATGCAATATGATTTATGCTTTCAAAAAAATAAAAGTTTTAGATTTTTAGGGTTTCAGATAATAAATTTAAGATGGTTGATGCGATCTAATACTAGTGAGTTGCACCAAATTATATCTATGGGTTTTCTACACCATAAACAGCTCCAACCACGATATTTTGTTGTGCGGATCATCCTTGTCCATGATATTCTATGGATAGGGATGGTCCACACTAAACCGAACGCATGATTATCTCGTGAACACCTTAGTTGGTTGCACATGCAATTCCATCTGTATCTAATTATCTATATCACAAGGCAAAAATGCATTATATATAAACATGTATCTTTGTTCATAGAATAATGCATAATTGTTTTAGTTTATATTTTTAATTCAGTTTTTTAATTTTTATTTGTAAAGAAATGCTACAAATTATGATTTGAGGCCAAGAGGGGTTTTATGAAAATAGTGAGGCAAGGTGCCTACATTCCCTTGGGATGCATAGATCTTGAAAGGTTACCCAAAATCTCCAAAAAAAAAACCACGACAGTCAAACATTGGAACGTAACATTATGCCTAGGGGTGCAAAATGATCAAATTGGATTCAAATCAAGGTATATTTGAATCCAATCAGATCTGATAGGATTCGATTTGAATTCAAATCATATCGGAAAGTCGATCTTCAGATCTGATCCGATCCAACTTATTTTCTTTAAAAATTTAATAAATTATTAAAAGAAAAATAAAATATACTAATTTAAGTAAAGTAAAAAAAAAAAACAAAAAATACAAGTATTTTTTTAAATTATTTTCATCAAATATATATATATATACATTTTTTTATAAAAAATAAATAATATAACTAATTTATAGAAATATGATATAAAAATTATATCTATAAATAAATAAATAAATAACACATATATGTATTATATATATATTTATGTTTATAAATATATAATACAAATTGGATCAAATATTCTCAGATCGGATAGGGATGGTCCAAATCCAATCTGATTTATGATCGCCTGATCAGATCCTATTATCTGATCTAACCCCGAAGAACCTAACAAGGGTGATTCGAATTTATGGGTGCAAATGGATTGGATTTTGATCCATTTTGAATTTGAATCCGATTCAAAATTAGTGGATTCGGGTACTCCCATTTAGACTTCAAACCGGATCGAATTGTGAAATTAGATCCATTTGGAATTTGGATCAAATTCAAATCACCTTCATCCTAAACCAATCCGGTGTGACCATATATTTTGTATTATTATTTTATGAAAAGACAATTGTACCCCATTTTAACATTTTGTTTTAAGGGTTATAGGTTGTAATTTTATTAATTAAATAACCTAAAATTGAAAATTTAACATCAAAATGATCGAACAAAACAAACCCTATAAGGTTGAAACCCTTCTCTTCGATGCTTTGTTTTGTTTTTGTTTTGAACATGAGAGGAAGTGAGAACCCTAGTCTCTAGCCGTTGTTGCTGCTTGCTGCCACAAGCCGTCGGCATTCAACGGTCCAATTACCCAGATTCAAAATTGAACAAGGAAATTTAGAATCCAGATTCAAATCATATTTTTTTTCTATCCAATCGAATTTGAATCTGATTCGATCCGTTTACATTCTTATCCGGATTCGATCAGGGATCGGATCATGATTCAATCCAATTATACCCTTAATTTTGCCTTTAAAACTTTATATGCATTTAGTGTGTAACCTGTAATTTAATTACTGAGTTGAATGGATCAATGGTCCAAAACCCAGATTGGACGTTTTTTTACCACAAACTGGATTTTAAGGAAACCGGACCTAGAATCATGTGACAGTTGAAACGGTTCAAGCATGGTCGTTGAAAACACTGGGTGTAACTCAAGTTTTTTTTCTTTTCGTGGCGCAATAGTGATTTTTTTTGTGCACACAACACAACGGTCAACAGAGTATCTAGAAATTGTAAATATAATGATTTAGGACGGCACAGCGTTTTATGTGTGGCACCAAAAATTGTATTTTCTTTTACAAGGGTGGTCTAGAATTTTGTAGCTCTTCTCTTAATTTGCTGCACAAG